CAGACAAACATACACATACAGTGGTGGTCAAATTGTACCACATCTTGAGACCAGTAGATGGCGTAATAGCTATGTTGCTGGACTCCCATGTAGTTGACCACAGTTCAATTCCTGGTCCTGTGGCTTAAACTCACTCTGGGCGTGTGTGCGTGCATGCCCAAGATCCTGAGAGGAGAATGGAGGAGAAGGGATTGCTGCATGGCCATTCCCCCGGGGCGTGATTTCTCATTTTCTGTCTCTCTGTCTTTCTGGCACATGCACACACCCTATAGCAAAAATCTCTCCAAAAGAAGAAGAAGAAGAAAATTGCACCACATCTCTGCAGCTCCGTTTCTTACTTTATGAAACATGGATAAAAACATCTACTTTGTATGGAGATTATAAAAATCTTTCTCTCAGCTACTGAGAACATAAAGGTCCTTAAATAAGAAGTAACTATGGCTCCGCCTTAGCAATGCCGGCAGTAGCATACTAAACTGTCATGCTGAAAGCTACATGGTCAACAGAGAGGTGTGGGTTCTGATCCCAAGTCAACCTGAAACATGCTGGGTGTGCACCCAAGGTCCTGACTAGCTGGAAAATTGAGAGAAGGCCATCACAGCATAATGAAACCCTGAAAAGGGTGCCTGTCTCTCTGTCTCTTTCTCACCAGTACTATGCTTCCTCTCATGAAAGAAATAAAATAAACCCACCAAAAAAATGAATAAAAAGTAATCGGTTGTCTCATAGAAATTCAGAATATGGAGTTTTAATAGTTAATTACAGTACTGGATTTCTACCATGAACCTTTGCTGAGGTCATATAAGAAGGAAACCAGTAAACTAACACTTATACGCAAACATGGTTTCATTTAATCGTGCCAAAACTGAATGGTAGGAGTTATTAACCTCATTTTCATAAGGAAAAGACAGAGATTATGAGAAATTTCTGACATGTTTCAACTTTCCTGATAACAAAAAGTATGAAACTCCCTTGTCTTTGTCTGCCAGAAAACTCAGAATGAATTCTCATGCTCAGTGTGTATTTACAACTCTATTAACAACAGTGGTCAGTAGATTTGCTTCCTGATTTTTTTTTTTTGGAGAGGTTTTTGCTATAGGGCATGTGTGCTCACCAGACAGACAGAGACATAGAGACAGAAAGCGAGAAATCACCCCCCAGAGGGGATGGTCACACGGCAGTCCCTTCTCCTCCATTCTCCTCTTGGGATCTTGGGCACGCACACACACATGCCCGGCATGAGTTTTAAGCCACCGGGGCCAGGACGCGAACCGCAGTCGGCTACGTGGGAGGCCGGGGACATAGCCATTATGCTAACTGCTGGTTCCCCCCTGATTTTTAAATTCGTTTGACTTTCTTTTTTTTTTTTTTTAATTTGCAAGAAGGCACATGTGCTCAGCAGACAGAAACAGAGAAAGCAACCTCCATGGCAACTGTCACGATACACTCTTTTCTCCATTTCTCCCTACTTTCAGGATTTTGAATACACACTACACGTGCCTGTAGTGTTTCTGAAACTGCTGGGTCTGGGATGTGAACTGCACAGTCAGTCATGTGGGATCTATCTGCTTTATTTATGCCTGGAGCTGGCCCAATTTATGTTTTTAGCAGGCACTTTACTTGTTAAACTCAAATTGGAAACTATCTTTTGGGCGGCAGATCAAATCACAGTTTAGCTCTTGTTCTAGTCCATCTGTTACTAATTACAGGAATACCTGAATCTGGGTAATTTCAGGGAATAGAGGTTTATGTAGCTCACAATTTGAGGTTCAAGATCGAGAGGCCACATCTGGTGAGGGTCTTCTTGCTATGGGTAACGTGATGGAAGGCAAAAGCTTAAGCAAAGCACAGCATATGTCTGTCTTATTCCTTCTCCTTGTAAACCCACCAGGACTCAATCGTGGGGATACTACTCTGATGCCTAACCACTTCGCAAAGGCCCCACTTTTCAAAATTGTAATGGGTTAAATTGCCTCTTAATACTGTTACAATACAACCAAATGCCAACACATGAATTTTGGGGAAACAAACAGTTATCTTTAACTGTGCTAATTTGTATTCCCCCAAACAGGCATGGTTTATGGGTCAGCCAGAAATCTAGGTGGCATTTATATGCCAAGTTGGGTGCATCTCTCTTCTACCTCTTTTCTTCCCAGGATTTTAAGCTCATTTTCTAGTGGTTGTGGCCCTGAACTCCATTCTTTGGGTCTTTAAACCAAAAAGACTGCAGGTTTTCTATGGGAGGTTAACCACCCCTTGTAACATTAACTTCAGTCTACCTTCCAGTTGAAAAGTTATCAGACGGGAAACTCATTCCGCACTGGTCCATGCTTCCAAGATCTGAAAATCAACTCCCCTCTGGAACCTGCCCACTCATTTCATAGGTGTCAAGGACAACACGCCTCCAAGTGATGTTTTCCCCCTCGTGTTGTCCTTGACACCTATGAAAATGTCAGGTCTGGTGGAGCTTACTTAGCCATAGTAGAAGTGGCATCAAGTAAACACATTTAGAGAACATTTCTCGTGTTTCCCACTTCTCACCATGCTTACCCTCATCTAGGAATATTTGGCTCTCATTTTAAGCAGAAACAGAAGAACAGATTTCAAATCCAGGGCTTCCTTGTTCATCTTGCCAAACACATAGGAGATTTGGAATGAATACGTACCAAAAAGTTAATGGTGAAATGATAAGACATCAGTCAGATATGGCTCTTAGACTGGCAGCATCCAATCTCAAAGCAATGGGGTTTGTCCAAGATCATGACTACTAACGATTAGCTACATGGTACTTTGCCATGATACTTTACCTCATTTTATTTTATTTTATTTATTTATTTTTCTCAGATAGCTCCTTATCCTGCCTTTTTGAAAACTACAGCCAGTTTATGAGAAATAAAATGTTGAAAATCCTTAAGTACTAACACAGGGTAGGTAAGAGCACATTTTCTTCTAATCATCTTCATTGTGGCTTCCATTTCTTGAGAGCTTCTGTATGCCAGGCACCTTTTAACTACTTTATATAAATTGCCATTTAATCCTCATAATCATTCTATGAGGTAGTTCCAATAATTAGTGTCATTTTATGGAGGAAGAAATCAGAGTTTAGAGAGGTTAAGTGAGTTGACTGAGATCACACAGCAAAGAGCAGAAATCTAAATCAGTCCTCTTAAGAAGAAACAGCAAAGAAGGAGTATTTGGATTCATTAAACACATGTCCTCTAATATTAGGAGGGAAATATTATGAGGGAAAAAGAGAAGTCTTTCTTTCTTTCTTTCTTTTTTTTTTTTTGAGAGGTTTTTGCTACAGGGGGTATACACTCACCAGAAAGACAGAGAGAGAGACAGAGAGATAGAAAGCGAGAAATCACCCCCCAGTGGGGTGGCCACGCTGCAATTCCTTCTCCTCCATTCTCCTCTCGGGATCTTGGACACGCACGCACATGCACCCGACGTGAGTTTAAGCCACTGGGTCCGGGACTTGAACCACAGTCGGCCACATGGGAGTCCAGCAACATAGCCATTATGCTAACTGCTGGTCCCAAGAGAAGTCTTTCTAACCAAGGAGAAATAAGCAACATTTCTACAACTTGAATATAGTCTGTAATTCCTCATTTCAATAATTATTCATATTAAAATGCCACCCTTTCATATGTGTGTGTGTGTCCTACAAAATCTAGGGGCAATCCTGACCAACTTTGTGAATTTTGCATAAGCCCAAGGTTTCGGTGATCATGGGATGAGAGAGAAAAGCAGGCAGGACCAGGCCAGCCAGTGGCACGGTGTTAAAGCGGCCAGAGCCCATGACTGACAGTTTGGTTTGTGTCCCAGTCACTGTGCTTAAAAAAATATGCTGGGCCCTTGTGCATGTGTTCCCCAAATCCTGAGAGATCCTGAGAGGACAATGGCGGGGAAGGGATTGTGGCATGATCATCCTCCCTGGGGGGCGGGAATTTCTCACTTTGTCTATGTCCCATTTTCTCTTTCTCTGGCAAGTATATGTGCTCTCTGGCAAATTAGAAAAAAATTTTAAAAAGCAAGCAGGGCCAAGCATAATCAGGCAGATTATGTAAACTAGACACAGGAGACTGGACCTTAACTTGAAGTAAGGAAAGTGCAGTATCCTTGCGTTCTGACCACATGGGACTATTTAACATGTGTGTTTCTATTACTTGTTAAATTGTTTGCTGAGACCTGAGAATAGGGAACATTGTTAAAGGAGTAAAGATGAGAGTGACCAAAAAAAAAAAAAAAAAAAAGAGCCCAAGAGAGATGTTAAACAACCACTATCCACTGACAACAGAAGAAATTACCAAATTAGTATATATTTCTTCTCATTTATCCCTAATTTTAAAAATACATATTCAATTTAACCACTGAAACTATTCAAAGATGTATAAAGACGAGCAATTATTTCACGCTATCATCAAGCCCCTGAATAAGAGTATCCTCTACTGTCTCTATTGTTGCTAATAGAACTTCTCCAGGCCAGAATGACCCCATGGCATTTTAGGGAATGTCTCATTACAGAAGTCTCTTCCTGCTCCTACTATAATAATTTCATTTCAATTCCTTCATCATTCTCAAAGCAATGCAAAGCATAACAACTTGATTTTGTAACTGTTTAACCTTACTTTTTGTATCTAAAATTATTTAATATGTGTAACTGTCTGGTGGGGGGAGAATAATAAAATGGCATGTCAATCAGTTAACAGTTAAGCTACATTTCATGGAAAAGAAAGGTAATGCTTCCTTACAGAAAGTAAAGTGATCATTCTTTGATTTAACTGACATAATATTTATATCCCAATTTAAAAATGGCAGTTACAAATAGAAGTTGAGAGGAGGTAAATTCTCCAAGGGAATCTAGCCCTTAAATTTTACCATTTTAAAAGTCCCACATTAAATGTACTTAAGAATGTTACTGTTATAAAAAAAAATGTCCATAGCAGGTCAATTATATCAAACTCTTTGACAAAAAATTAAAATGAAGTAAACACTACCTTTCAGACTACTGCAAGCTCCTCAGAGTCCTCAACGGCAGTATGCGCAGAGCTTCTCCAGAGGGTCTCTGCAGGCAGGTTGTCCCACGAAACCTACACAACAAACAAAAAATCAGATGCTCATTTTGGCAATGATCAGACAGACAGCTCCTGAATTTAACTTCTTCAGGAATATTCACTATGAATAATAAGCTAGCATGACCATAGGTAATATTAAGAGGGCAGAAGTGAAGGCACATATGCGATTTCCACAGTAATTTTTGTTACTCTGCACCAGGGAAACTAGCTTCGAAGGGACCATGCGACTCATACATAATCCCATCAAGGAAGTGGCAGAACGATACCTGGACCCTCAATCTTCTTGTTCCTAGTTTTGGTACATTCTGGCTGCATCATTTGGTCCTTTTCAGGAGCTGGGCAGTTTTGCCCTGGGGCTTTGAACCGTACAAAAAGACAAGTCTTACCTATAACTCTGGTTAGAAGAATACTTCAAAGAGTGGTTGGCCATACGGTATCTAGAATTTAACTGCTACACTACAGGGCTGGCCAGGGAATGGTAACATGTAATTTACTATTTTTATATTTATCTAGATTTTTAATTTTTTCTCACATTAAAGGAGGGATGGAGGATAGATAGAAGGAAGGAAAGAAGGACAAAAAGCAGAAAGGAGAGAGGAATACACTGCTACTTCTATCTAGAATGTACTTAACCTGGTCCTAGTTTTTGTTTGTTTGGGATTTTTTTTTAGGAATGAAACACAAACATCATGTTTTAATCATCAGTGAGAGGGACCAGCAAATGGTGTAATGGTTACATCACTGGACTCCCATGTAGTTGACCACAGTTCAAGTCCCAAACCCAGTGGCTTGAAACTCACACTGGGCACATACATGTGCATGTATGCTCAAAATCCTGAGAGGGGAATGGAGGAGAAGGGAGGCCATCCCCCTGGGGGCGGGGGGGAGGATTCTTCACTTTCTGTCTCTGTCTCTCTGGAGAGTGCACGTACTCTGTAGCAAAAAAAAAAAACTCTCTAAAATAAATCAGCGAGACTCATGGTGATTCCTTCCAGATTGTCTTAGCTTGGGGGGGTGAAACATAAATTCAACCAGCAGAGGGAACCATGTGACATCTGGGATGGCGAGGAGCCCTCTGGCAGGGGAACCCCAGAACACAACCAGTGGTCATCACCTTCAGCATTTTGCCTGCCATCCCTAGAACCATCAACACTATATGGAAGAGGAGATATACTATAACAAAATAAACCAAGAGTGCACCATGGACATCTTTTCAGCCTTTCTAAAACAAACAAACAAACGAACAAAAAGAACTCTCTGAAATTTTCTAGAATTAGGGAACAATATCTTGATTAGTTTTTCAGCTTTAGGAATAATTTTGCTTTTCATATTTTTCTCTTTGAGCCAAGTTGTCTATTAACCTTACATGTTCTAGGGTTGGAGATAAGTATTTCCCCCTACAAAATAATTATTTTTGGGAGGGTTTTATGGTTCATTTTAAAGAGCCCACATTAGGATAATTCT